ATAATGTGTTTTGCGTTTTTAGGTCAAATCACTGCCTGGTCTCGGTACCACCATAGATTTAATCCTGGTGAATGGGAAACTCAAAGAAGGGGACACAGTTATTGTGGCTGGAATTGAGGGTCCCATTGTGACCCAAATTAGGGCCCTTCTCACCCCTCAGCCCCTCAAAGAGTTGCGGGTCAAAAACCAGTATATTAACAATAAGGAGCTGTTGGGGGCCCAGGGAGTTAAAATTGCTGCTAAGGACCTGGAAAAGGCCCTAGCTGGTATACCACTGTTTGTTGCCCAGCAACCAGATGAGGTGGATTATTGGAAGGTAAGGGAAATTTTTATTTCTTGTGTATGGATTTTGTGCGATGTGAAAGTATACAAAAATCCCCTTTTTCAGTTCAACGTTTCCCTCATGGTGTATTATTCACTTCACGTTGCTCCAGATGTGATAGAAATTTAACTTCTCGCTATAATATCCATACATCATCCAGAAATCAAGTCATGAGAATGCTCAAGCTGATCAGGTAGAAGTTGTTACCTTGATCCAACACCAAATTTACAAGGAAATGCGGTTAAAAGGATAAAAGATCTGATCACGTAAAGTGAAAATACAAAACTGTAGAAAGAGACTACTGTCTTTCTTGGATTTAGTTTATGTACTGTTTCGCAATATCCAGCCTTTTTGCAGGGGTACTTTGCATGTAGACTAACTGTGGGGCACATAAGCTTCAAAATGGCAACGTGAGCTCTTTGATCACGGTGAAAATCGGTCTTTAAAGACAATTCAAATTAAAATTGTGTCGTGTCCATTGAGTTGTTATTATTGACGGCTTATTGTGATTCTGTTTTCTGATTGTTATCAGAATGAAGTGGCCAATATACTACGCGACACTCTACAATCTATCAAGCTGTCTGATCGTGGTGTGTATGTACAGGCCTCTACGTTAGGATCTTTGGAAGCCTTGCTTGAATTTCTGCGCACATCAAAAATTCCCGTAAGTAACTTGTATCGTTTTCAAATAAAGCAATGATCCTTGCAAGTAAGCTTCAATTTAAGCAATTGCAGAAAAAAAAAGCACTAAAAAAATTTTAGACTTCGACAAGATTCGAACCCAGGCCTCCCAGAAACTAGTCAGGCGCTATTACCAACTGAACAACGAAGCCTCACAATGAAAGCGTGGCAAATTTAGAAGGTTCTCCTGCCCCGTGAAGGAATCTGGTACAATACTGATTTTCATTTTTGTTAGATAAGTGATCTTGCTCTCTGAAATGCGTTTAGTATTTTTTGCAATAGGCAATTTTTTGTTTCCAATTATTACTTTTGTCGTATATCTCGCTGTGATAAATTATTAGTCATTCATGGTAGGTAGAAGATGTTAAGCAGTTTTGTTATTTTGCAGTACTCCGGAGTGAACATCGGTCCAGTTCACAAGAAGGACATCATGAAATGTTCCACCATGTTGGAGCACGATAGCCAGTGAGTTCCTTTCAATCTCATCCAGCAAATCTACGTCATGGTTGCTCGTCCTCCTCTAATTAAGATTTTCCTCTCTCAACCCTTCGCTCGACTCACACAACCACTCATGTAGATCAAACAGTCTGCATCTGGGTTTGCACTTTAAAAGGTTACAGTAGTGTTAGACATTCGTTTTTAAATATATATTACAACAAGTCAGATTAACAATTGATTAAGTAATAACAACAGATTTTATGTTTTTTTTCGTTTTGTCTTGCTTGTGTTTGTTCGTGTGTTACAGCTAGTGATTTGCTAAACACCACGTGTTTGTTGCGTTGCTTAGATACGCTGTGATCCTGGCCTTTGATGTACGGATAGAGAGAGAGGCACAAGAAATGGCTGACAATTTGGGCGTGAGAGTGTTTTCCGCAGACATCATTTACCACTTGTTTGATAAATTTACAGCTTATAGAGAGGTAAGATAAACACAGCGCCTTTCTGAAAGAAAAATTTCCTTTCCCATGAGGGAAGGATGGCAGAACTCTTCCAAAGTAAGTTCATTGGAAGAGCGTAGAATGAGTTGCAAAATGAAATAACGTAGGATAAACTTAAACTAGCTTCGAAAACCAGACCGTGATCGTAATATCTTTCTCGGCCATTCCTTTAATTGAGTGTGTAAAGTATTTTGGTATCGCTTTGTTATTGTTTGACTTTTCTCTTTGTTTGGTCCAGAAAACTCGCGCCACTCTATCAAACAATCAGGTGTAAACCTTGGTCGCCCGCGTTTTCCCGCGCTTTTGGGGGTTTGATCGGTTTTACGTTGAGTTTCATTGGCTCTTTAAGTTATTTTCCATCCTTCTGATTGGCTGTTGTAATTACTTTGGTTTGATTTTACCTATGACACTTAATCAAAATACGTTCTATAGTAGCTGAATTATCTAGGTATGTTTTAAGCTCTACAGTTGCTTGAAAGCGTTTTTCAATGCCTTTCACCAGGATCTAAAACAAAAGAAGCGAGAAGAGTTCAAACACATCGCAGTGTTTCCATGTAAGCTTCGAATCATGCCACAGCATATCTTTAACTCTCGTGGCCCGATTGTCGTCGGCGTGGTCGTGGAGGCTGGTGTCATAAAGGAAGGGACACCAATAGCGATTCCAAGCAAAGAGGTCAGTGTTGTTGTAAGGCGCTAAAATGCTTTGTATTTCTTTTAGACCTGGTAGGTTTTAACGAATCCGTGATTAGCGTAACTAACTCTTAAGGCAAGAAACATACCGGTGTATGACTTGCCATCAGTTTTAAGTCCGATATATTGTACAGTAGAGGTTTCATTAACTTTTTTCTTCAAGCGGCTACCCATGATGCAATAGGCGGCTGTGCCATTAGGCGACACTCAAACGCATGAGCCTGCTCGCAGGCTCAACAGACGGCGGTAAGAGGTCTTTTCGGCGGCAGCAGACCACCGGTTACTTGCTTCTATTGAAACTCCTGTAGTAGGTAGTGTTGGAAGTGCTTTTTGTGCTGCATCAGTGGGAGAGTATAACAGGGTAATTCTGTATTATCAACTGAGTTAATAATGTAAATTAGCCGCCGTAAAGAGTTTCAAAGCTGACGTTTCGAGCATTAGCCCTTCGCCAGAGCGAATCATTCAGTTGACAATTCTAAATTAGAGAGAAACAATTAGTTTGTTTCACTCGGGTAGATGATCGAAAGCCAGCTACCTACATGGCTCATTCAAAGAGCAAATTACTTCAAGCCTGTTATTGGACGCCTTGTCATTCTGTTGTGTGGCAGCGCTAATCTTTGTTTTTCTTTACACGTGTATATTTCTGTAGTTTTTGGACATCGGTGTCCTTACTGGTATTGAAGCAAACCACAAGCCACTTACTGAAGCTCGTAAAGGAATGGAGGTGTGTGTCAAGATCGAGTCGCCCCCAGGAGAAGCTCCCAAAATGTATGGGCGGCATTTCGATGACACGGACCTGTTGGTCAGTAAGGTGAGATTACCTAGCTTTATAATATCTGCATTATTTCTTTTATTTTAATTATTTATTTATTTATTTTCAACAAAACATTAACTCTAATTTATAAGGATTGCCATTTTACACTGGTCTACAAATTTGTTAGCAACTGAAATCGAATTAAGTAATGTGGCGAAAGAACCCATTTGAAGCTAGATCTTAGAAAATTTGGGTTCCTTAGACGATATCGAAAGAACATTTATATCAGGGCCGAGCGAGTTTGGTAAAACATTTTCTCGACTGGCAATTGTGTTAAATAAGATATTAGCTAGATTATATGTGGGACACTGATAGATAACGGATAGTTTGAGATCACTGATAGCTGGTAGACTTGAGTTAGAGAAAAGTATTTTATATCCCGCGATTTTTCGTGCCCCAATTCTCATACATTCCCTGGTTTTAAGGGTTCCACCTGAAGAAGAAAGGGTCAAAGGGTGTTCTGGACTCTCATCTAAATCAAGAAAAACTGTTAATTTAAGTTCATTAAGCTGCACATGTCAGCTGTTGTGAATAGATCACTGATGTAGGCCCACACGACTGGGAAAAGCCTCAAGTCGCTCATTTATCCCTAGTTTTTTGCGCAATTTTATTACTATTGGACGGAAGCGTAAAAAATTGAAGTTTCCATGATGCTGCGATCTCTATTTCATGACTGCCGATAGCGTTCAGTGCGTTAAAATGCTCTTTTTTTCTCGATGTCTTACAGATAAGCCGGGAATCTATCGATGCTGTGAAGGAGTACTTCAGAGAAGATCTACAGAAATCCGACTGGCAGCTCATGATCGAACTCAAGAAAATCTTTGAAATTATATAAATATAGATTAAAGAGTGTTCAGAGACTTTAAATTTTCAATTGTATGTCATGCCCTTAGTGGCCTGGGATCTGATTGCATCTCTTAAGTGTCAAGAATCTTTAAGAAAGCTTGGTTGTGGGGGAAGAGTGATGGTTGTTTTTGCAACAACCTCTGGTGTCACGATTTAATTTTCTGTCCACCCTAAACAACTGAGTGCATTACAGGTAACATTTTGGACCATGGTACATGAAACTCTGACTTAAAGGACAATCGTTGCTCAATAATTTATAATTACCTAGTTAAAGAAGTGCGTTGTGTGGCTGATGTTCCATACTGAGTCCTCTATGAGTACAAGACTCCTGTATTGTACGTTGTAAGCCTTAATTTTTCGGCTTGAAGAACCTGCTTCGGGACTAGAAAAATGTCTCTTGCTTGGGAGAGTACCCTTGGTAAAGTTCATAAAACAAGGGCTGTAAGGTGATTTTTTCAGTTGGTACCAAAGTTTGACGAAGTCGAGTCCTTTGAGTGAAGGTGTGCACAAAATAAAGGAATCCTCTAAGAGAGGTTCCAGTAAATGACAACCAGTACTGTGTCACATTGTGCAGTTTATTAAGGGTGCTAGTTGCCGAGACTTATCAAATACTTTCCAACTAAATGTTCAGATACGTAAGATGTTTTGTAGCTAAGTCAGACAATTAATGCTCCATTAAAAACCCGCAAAATTTGGCCTTTTTGTGTTTGTGTTTTTTTGTTTCCTTGTTCAGCTTCTTAACATTGTTGTGGCAGGAGTGGCGAAGCCTGGCTTCGTTTGCCGCCACGTCCGTGTGGGTCTGACACGAAAAAAAGAGCTCCGTTGACATGCATAGATTGCGTGACACTAATGTTGATGTTTCAGAGCAGTCAACTGAAGAAAGTTAGTTGAGTAAGACAATTAGGCCGTATTTGCCATAACTCTTGGAGCCTGCCACTTTGGTCCACCTTATTTACATGTGTCGGGAGGTTTTAAAGATCGAGGCCTAACACAATAATTAACAAATAGAGAAGCCTTGGCTGTGCTCTGTTCTGTTATAAAGCACGC